ACTCTAAACGATTTTGAGGGCAGACACAATAGATCTGATAAGGTCGCGGTGAGGAGGTAGACAACCCGAAGGCCCCACTCTAAATCTTATTCAATCTATACGTTCTGAGAGATAAACTTATATTTTCAAATTTCATTTCTTGATCTAGGCACTTATTTATGTACTTAGGTAGCTAAAGATTTTTATTTATACAACAGTCACGGGCCGCAAGAGATAGGCCTGCGGGCCGTAAGTTGCCAACCACTGATCTAGAGGAAGGCGGTGGTATCGCTAGATATGACCAGCTCGTAGCCCTGATTTAAATCCCATTGAGAATATCTGGAACATGCTTGGGACAAGATCACAGTAGGAACGTAACTTGAATACTTTGGAAGACGCACGTCAGAGACTGATTCAAATTTTGGTAGACCTGGACCAAAATGACATAAGGTCTCTTATTTTAAGTATAGGAAATCTTTGCCCAGATTTATTTCTGCCCAAGGCTGAAATACTCGCTGCTGACCCAGTTTAACTTGTGACTTCGCATTCTGTTTCGTTTTTTCGTTGTTAAATTAGGATGTTAATTATCCGCTAAATCATGTTGTGCCATTAAATGGTATTTCTTGAGTAATAGTAGAGATAATGGAGTGAATCCAAAAAAGAAATGTTGAAGAAAGATGAGGCTAAAGTTTTATTTCAATTCTTACTCGATAGCGTAACTTTTTCTCTATAAGGGTATTACGAACAAGAAAAAAATACGCTATAATTGCTGCACCCGGGATATATAATTTTTTTTTCTGTGACGGGATAAAAGTTTGAAATTTCATCTATGTTGACAGGTTATGAAATGTTACTTTTTACCCACAGAAATACTATATATACACTGTTGATGCTTTTGTTGTGCTACAGTTCCGAAAAATAATCCAATAACACCGTCTCCGCGAGAAAGAAGTCCTTTTATCTTCCATTCGACTTCGCGGTTACGTAAATTACTGAACAACCTCTGAATTCGAAATTTTTCAATCACAGAATCAGACTGACAGTTATTTGGTTACTTCAGAGGAATGATAAAGATGGCTACAAAACGATGCCTGCATCGCAGGTGTCATTCCTGTTGAAAACTCCGAATTTCATGTCGATAATTTCTTGATTTCAATGTAATGTAATATCTTCACGATATTGATTCGTCTTTCTTCCTGTCACAGAAAAAAAATGTTCATTATACACGGTGAAATATTAGATTATAACTCACGGTTTTTTGCTTCCCTTCGCTACTCGTCGGGAGACAACACAATCTGGAGCTAAACTCTACAACTTGTTTCCCTTGTATAATAAATAACTATTTATGCGACTACAGTTCACACACCAATGTTCTGGGGGAAGGAGATAACATGCCATTCAGAACAAAAAACGTCCAAATCAGAGAAGTAGTTTTGACGAAAATGTATCTTAAATTTTTTGCTACTTCTTAGTGGTGCAATAATTTCTTGAAGAAGTGTATTAGAAGTAGGTAATGACAATGTTCGATATGGGATGAGATGGTACATGGTATAATGTGCCAGAATAAACATGATCTTCATAATATACCAGTTACCTTGTCAAACTCAACGGGTTTTTCAAAGACGAAAGATGAAAAACAATCATGATGGAAGTCTCATGACAGCCGTCAATCATTCTTGTTTACGCATATAATTTTCGAATAGGATTATATTTCTCTTTAGAATAATTCAATGTCTACAACCTGTTTTTTCAACATCACCGCAAGTGATGTACCTACATATAATTTTACAATCTCAACAAATGAAGATATTACAATATCATATGTGTGGACACATCTGAATACTTCTTAAATATGCATCAGAGTTGTGAAACATAGATATATACAAGATATTTGAAGAAGTTGGCAATGAATGGAATACTTTTTTATTGTTGATTTTAGTAATATAAGTGATGCCTTATAAAAAATTCTGCAAAGCCTAAATCGTAAATGCAAATATCAGATATCGATTTTTTACAGTTGTATACGAGATATGTCATAAGATATTTATTTTGCTCGAGAGTAAGGTACCTTTATTATACAATATCGAAAATTATTAGAAATAGAAGTTGACTTAAATTAGGTTCAAATATTCAATTACATTTATCTACTATGAAATTAATGTTTCATTATTTTTTCATATTCTGATTGATTTATATAAACGCTGTATATTGCAGTGGGTATTTAAAGTATAGTACGTAATACGTGTTGCGGGCGTGATTTTTTTCCTTTCGTGCGTAATATGCTTCTTACAACACTCATTACGTAATATACTGTTATTCAATATCTACTCATCGGCAAAAAACCGGCTAGCAAAAAATTTTGCTAAATTGATCATCGTGTAAGTCTTTCAATTCTCGTCCGATTTTGGTGAAATTCCGACAGAATCGTAGATTTCTGTTACTTAGTGTTAGCTTGAATTCGGAATACTCCATATTAGTATATTATGTAACAAGTGTTATAAACGTCCTTTTAGTAACGAGTAGTTTAAGCACGAGCGGAGCAGAGCGGAGCGAGTGTTTAATAAACGAGTGTCTAGAAGAGTTTATAAACGCGTTACATACTATGATTTTTCTACGAACTCCGAAAATTACATTAACATACCTGCAATTCCTGCTAACCTACAAAATAATTCGAAAGGAATGGGAATTGAGAACATAATACATGCAACTGATGCATGCAACCAGCGAGACACGTATAAGTGATATTGGTTGTAGATGTGTCCACTGTCCAGTCCATTGCTTACTAACCTTTGTTTCACGTTTATTGTCATGCTTAGCGCAGAATAAATAAATTGTTCTCAAAAATGGATGCTTCATTTTCACACTTCTTGAAAATATGCAAGTACCAGAACATTCTCTTCGATTTCACTTTCGTCTACTTTTCGCATATATTTTTTATGAAGAATTCTGATACAAACGAATATTGTTTGAATTATTCTAATACAAAATTCGAAAATAACAGTTGACAGTTAATACAATTGACAGGCCAGACACGCCTCAAATTACTGAAGCTGTGTTTAATGAACTGCGTTGCCATGGTAATGTGTTTAAGAAATCGTGTTGCCATAGTAACGTGTTTAATATTATTTTGAATAAATCACAGATCGACAATCCGTGATTAATCGATCATTTAGCGTGGTACATATCCGTACGCTAAATGCCATATTAGTTATGTGAGTAGAAAAACTTTTTTATAAGACGTGTTCCGTCTTCACCTACTTTTTTGTGTTTGTCTGATTACTATTAATTATATTTAGTTTATTATATGCGATATTACTGTGGTTTCTAATACGGACGCATCCAGAATGAATTGTTTTTCCGAGAACAAGTTGATTTTCATTCAATTCTCCTCCCAACCAAGATTCGAAGGGCGTTTCAGATTTGGGTCACTTTCAAGAAAACTCTAGATCTTTGATAGCCATCTTGAGTCAATTCTGATATTCAGATCTTTTCATCTGAAGTTTTATCTTCAAAATAAGCCTAAGATTTCCAAAATTGGTTGACGTGGAAAAAAGTTATGGCTGCAAAACCAAAAAGTTGATTTTTTGAGATCACTCAGTAAATAAGAGAGATAGGAAGTTGATTCGCGAAATATCTCGAGGTAATGAGATCATCTTCATGCCTTGTTGTCGAAGTTGAGGAAACATTTTTTTTCATCATTTGAGAGTCTTTTGAATATTCCGAAATTTTGCACAGTGTCGGAAAACACCATGTAGAGATTTTATGTAAATACCCTTATGTTTCAATGAAATACGAGATTATAGCTGAAGGACTGGGCTATCAAACAGTGTGAACCAAATTCAAATTGTTCTAAACTGAAAAAAGTTATTCACATTATAACAGGGGCGACATTTTGGTGTGCGACGAAATTAGTGTTGAGTAGTTTAATTCTGAATATTCAACAGAAAACAACTACTTTCCTGACTATTTGCTACATCGAACATAGAATTGAATTGTTGAAAATCCGAAAGGAGAGCATTAAAAATAAAAATCTTCTGAAATTGAGAATTGACATTCTCTCTCTCTCAAATCGGATAAATAATATGATGTATTATGATATAAAAATATAACTTACCAAAATGTTCAGTACTGAAATGAAAATTGAAATGTATAGGAGAAGTATTCTTGTATGAACTCTGATCTTGATCAGCTTGGAACTCCAAAAATAAATCATTCCTATCAGCGATATGGGAATTATATCTCTCACGAACAGGTTTTATGACTTTATTCGGATGAACCCTTTTAATCACTGATACGAATTATTTTTTTGATCTGATTTGAGAGAGAATGTAAATTCTCAATTTCAGAGGATCATAATTTTTCATAATCTCCTTTTAGATGTTCAACAGATATAATTCAACGTTCGACATGGAAAATAGCCAGGAAAGTAGTTGTTTTCTGTTGAATATTGAGAATGACATCATGTGACATATGTACATATTTTTATCTGAAGGTGAATGAATGAATAGAGTATTTTTTTATACACCTTGTTTTGAAGTATGTTTTCATTAAATGAATGGAATTGAAATGGTCGGGTCCCTGACTATGTCCCCGCCATGATGAAAATAGACTGGTGTAACCACTTGTCAATTGTTTCTTTCCAAAACGTGTAGACCGCGAAACACCGTAGCAAGGCCGCACCGCATTGACTGTAGATGGCGTAGGGAACATCGTGCCACATATACTTCACAGATATAATGAAAATTTCACGTCTTTTTCATTAAATCAATCACTTTTTCTCAATGTTTTTAAATTACGAATTAATATACGTTAATGTGCACAACAAAACAAAACAACCATTGTGTAGCAAGATCACTTCGGGAACAGCGCCATCTAGCGTTAGTTTTGCGCGGCCTTACTACGGTGATAGAATTCGACATAATCAAGTAGGCCAGAGGTCTACAAAAATTTCTAGGGTTTTGTAAGAGGGAGCTATTTCACCATACATATATCCACCTTTGTCCCCGCCCACTCCCACCGACCTGAAAGCCTCCTTGAGCTCCTGCTGCGTCTGGTCATCGTCCTGGTCCTCCTCCAGGAAGTGGTTGGCGATGTCGCAGAAGCCGTCGAAGTTCACTTGGCCCGTCCTGTCCGGGTCGTTCTTGGTGATGAGGTTGTTCAGCTCGGACTCGTCGAACAGCTGGCCCATCGTGTTCAGGATGGTGGCGATCTTGATGGTCTCGATGAAGCCCGACTTGGTGGTGTCGAACATCTGGAAGGCCTTGCGGATGATGGCCATCTTCTGGTCGTCGTCGCCACTCTGCAAGATAAACAATCTTAGATGAACGAATGTACTAGCCGGAGCAAGAATTTTCGAAACAATCCAAACTATATGCCGATATAAGCACAGATGAAGGAGCCAATTCACTACATCACAACATCCACAATACTAGTCTATTGGCTAGCAAATATTTTGGTATAATTTGTGGTTACTAATTTTCCTCAATACGGTAGTAATATATATATATATATATATATATAGGTATATAGGGATCTCTAAAAATTATGATTGCCACCTCGAAGTGGTAGCTAATAGGAATGGGGCAGCCAATACAAAATGGCGGATGTTGACTTTATGGAAACGATCGTATATCTCTAGAAATAATTATCCGATTTCAATTTTCTTGGGCTCTAATGTAAGCTCTCATTGTACTCTGTTTTTGAATTTGTTTAGAGATGTTTGATATTTGCAGCCGTTAATTGATGAAACACGAATAAATATTTCTTCAATACTTCAACATAATCAATTGTTTTATTGAGAGCTGCTCAAATGAACATTACACTTCAACGGATTTACCATACAAGTACAGGATGCTAATCGGCATAGTATATTTGAGCAAGAACAACTCAAAAGTTCCATATTATGTGCTTCAGGAGCTGGTGCAAGTTAGCCATCTTTTCCTAGCATCCATATCCATGATCTTCGGGCTCTGGAACTGCAGGAAAATTTTCCAAACATCTTTTCTATATAGCTGTTTGATAGTTAACTCTCAGAGAATGTTGACGAAGACAGTCTTCACATGGAGGTAAGCTGGGTTGACTCAACTGCACCTTGTCGACTTCGGAACATTTGGTATCTTACTTCATTAATATTTTCTGTCTTGGTATCACTTGAATATAGCAGACTGGCAAACTTTTGTATCTTGCAATGGACTTCGTCTGATAATAAAAACTGGCGTCCCAGCATGGAAAACGGTGAGACGAACTCATCATCATTTGTTGGTAGAAGTTTCAGGGCTTTGAGCTTGCCTTGTCCAGAAAAAGCACTGACTGTATCACAACCTGCTCATGCATGCAAACCAGGTAATGCTGAGCTAACTGAGAGTCAACTGCAGATGCAAGTTTCTTAACGTCTATCAACCTAATTCTACCACTTGTGCCACGTTTGATATAAACGTTGCTCTCCCGTCTAATTTTCGACGATAAATAGAGAGCTAAGATCAAAACGTCTGTATCATCAGATACAGAAATAATATTTGAGTATTCCACAGCTGCATCCTTAATATGCAGCATCATTCGAGTATCTGCTTCTTCTTGGGAAGACGCAAGATTCTCCACATCGTGAGAACCACTGGCAGTTATCTTGATGCACTTCCCGGAGTGAAGTAGCAAATGGTAGCAAATAATGTTTCATCAACAATCTTTCTTCTCCTATTTTCATCTTGCCAACTTTCAACTAGGAATGTTGTGAGCTTATTTTTACTTTCATAGCTCTGTATAGGAGACGTCTCCATTTGATGATTTTATGACCACTTTTAATATTCTTGAAGGAGATTCCTTCCTCTGAACCTCTGCTGAGGTGTTCTGCAGATTTAATTGATTTGTCTCAGTAAGTGTCAAATACAATATCGAATCTCTTGCTGCCTCCAATTTCCTCAGAGCTTTAATATTCGTGAAATTTGCCCGACACTCTCTATGAAATCGTACACCTTGTAATGATTCATTCAAAATATCAGTAATATTTTTGATTGGTCCAAAATTTTTTATCACAGCAGCATCATACAAAACTGTCCAAGAGCGCCTAATACACTAATATGATTCAAATTCCGAGTTTAAACACTTCACTTTCATTTTGGATCCACCAAATTATTCCACTTTATTCCTCCGAACACCCACAGTTAGCAACAAAAAGTGATTGCAACTATTATTCGTATTAAATATCAATCAATAATGATGTTTCAACAGTTACTACTCTGAGTAGTAACTGTTCAAACATTATGAACATAATAAGAGATTGGTATAAGTTATAATATTGATGAACACAAACGAACCCCAGTCACCAAAATAAAGAAACATTGGTCGATTGCGATTCATTTTGAAGCCATTTCAATACCACAAAACAGAAGTGTGAATATATCAAATTATAGAGAAAAGTTGAGGCAAGAATATTTGTTTCGAAATTTTTTTCGAGAGGTCTCAGTATTTCATTAATTGAGAATAAATTAAAAAAAAAAAAAAAAAATAATAAAACATGTTGTTTCGATAAACGGCTGCGGATACTCAAAATCGCTATAGCATCTAAAAAATAGATCACATCATAACCTTCCATTCGAATTTTGGAAATGATGATTCGGACGATTATTTTCTGAGATATGGCCGTTTTTATAGAGTCATCATCCGCCATCTTAAATTATCTGCCATTTCTATTAGCTACCAGTCTAATCATGGATTTTTGTGATCCCCATTTCACCATGTACCTGTGTTACCAAGGAAAGTTAGTACCCTCAAATTATACCGATTACTCCAATTTGCCTAGCTAGCCAATGGACACACCAGCTTTAAACAGTTTGCCACACTTATACCAATTTTTCAATAAGCGGGTGGGACAGGAAGAAGACAATAATGTTTGTTAACAGCCAAATGAGCCGAATAGTGTCGAAGATACCCGATAAAGAAAACCAAACGGTGAAATATTGACTCCATTTCACTGACGGAGTTATAGTCACATATAGTCTATTCATTCATTTTTGAGGAAATAATGTCTTTTTACGCCGGCGAGAGGAGAAGTTAGTTTCTCCGGTAACAAAAGAGTGGCAGAAGTGGCGTATTATTCCCTAGAGAGATAATGTGACATATTTTATATCAACATTACATTTTCCGTATAGCTCTGCGCTTTCTTTTCGGAACACCATTCTCTGAAACGATTATAATATATGCTGCATCATACAGATTCCTGGATTTCAGTGGTAGCAAGTTAAGAATCACTGCAGAAGCAGTATCAACAATTTCTTGAGGTTCCCCTTCGATTTCTTGTTCCGTAACCGTTAACAATTTTCAAAGCTGTTTCCATAAATTTCAGTTTGTTATTAGAGTGTGCTGTCATCATGGGGTTATCAACAAGATGCATGTAGTCAAGATACGAATTTCACAAACTACTACTAATAATTATGACAAAACACTCTGACCAAATCTTAATTCTTCCTTAATTTTTGTGTTTTAGGCAGCGTATAATAAATAGTATATACACCTCAGGACAGAATGCTAATTTTCCCTCGGTGCTTTGTAGGCTTCGCACTTGAGCTACAAATCGCACCTTGGAAAAAATCTTGCATTTTTGTCCCTTGTACTATAATCGTTAATTTATTTCCTGCTCCTATAGCATGGCTGCCCTGACAATAAGTCACGACGAAATGAGGTCTAGACACTCTAGACTACACTCTTCTATAGACAGAATGGGCGAGTGAACTGATGTTTAATTATTGGCATTCAATTACTCCACTGTGTCGTTAGGAATCTGAATTAATTTTTGCAACACTTCTCACGTTTTTTTATGTAAATAATGAGTCTATGTTCAAAATTTCAGAGCTAAAAAACAGGCCGAACTAGTTTACATGAATGTTTGCAAGTGGGTTGATGTGAACAAGCTTTGTCTGAATAATGATAAATCGACCTGTGTTATTTTCAAATCTTCTGGTTCAGAATATCCTAACCACATAACTCTAAATAATACAGAAATCAACTGCGCTCTAAATACTAAATTGCTTGGTGTTATTTTAGAAAGTAACCTGGAGTGGTATGGGCATGTAGATAGTTTGTGTTTGAAGCTAGCTAGGATATGCTATGCCCTTTTCATTTCATCACAACAATGTAGTAGAGAAATAATTAAATAATTGTATTTCGGATGCTTCCACTCAAATTTAAAATATGGAATCATGCATTGGGCGAATTCCGCAGAAGCTCATAGGGCCTTCACCTTACAAAAAAGGGCAGTCCGTATCTTGGGAAATCTGAGAGCAAGAGATTCATGCAGGGAATATTTTAAAAAACTTGGTATCTTCACAATGATTTCCCTTTACATTTATGAAGTAACCTGTTTTGTTTATAATCATAACCGTTATTTTGAGACTGAAGGAACAAAGATTTTCTGTTGCCTCCTCAACACTCATCTGCTCGGTATCAGAAAAGTTTATATTACAATGGATGTAAATTATACAATTGCCTGCCAAAATCTATACAAGAATCAAAAAATAAATTCCGATTCAAGAATAAAATGAAAAACTTGCTCCTGAAAAAATCTTATTACACCTTGGATGAATTCTTCTGTGATCCAATCATCGCTGACTGATGAATAATGTTTTTAGAGTAGACGTTCATATACTTTTTATGTTTATGTACCTGTGAAATCTTGTATATTATTATGTTCGTTTTATACCTACGATATTTATTTATTTATGTACTTTAGCCTAATTTTGACGTTTTTTTTCTTAAACTGTATGTTTTTGAAACAAATAAATCTATATATCTATCTATCTATCTATCTATCTATCTATCTATCTATCTATCTATCTATCTATCTATCTATCTATCTATCTATCTATCTATCTATCTATCTATCTATCTATCTATCTATCTATCTATCTATCTATCTATCTATCTATCTCTCATTTCAAACGAACCTTCATGGCCGCCATTTGGCGATACGTCCACGATACGTCGAATAAATGGTGACGTCAGTTTTTATGCTGTTTCGTTATTGGTCAGATAATCTTCCATTTCCACTCATGAAGAGAGTCACCAATAATTATAATCAAGTTATCAAAAAGATGTCCTTTCGTTGAATAAAACATAATAGGAGGAACCCATGATATTATAGTTCAATCTTGATTTTTGTTCTCTGGCAATCAGCATGTCCAAATATTTCTCATTCCCCATAACAAAAAAAATTAAGAAAATTCAAATGATTGTACGATTTATGGGAGCAAAACCTCTCCAAAATCAAATAGAATCACCCCCGGTCAAAAAATCTATTAGGAATCACCCCTCACCTTGGGTTTTCAAATTGCACCCGCATGTTTTTTTCACTCCATCTTATACAGGGTGATTCACATAAGAACCGACATAGAGCAGGGGCATGTAGGGGGTCCCAAAATATGGCAATTTCACGCAACTTACCTCTATACCATGTTGCTTCCCTAAGGAGTTATAGGCTTTGAAAGTGAAGTTATAAATTTTGAAAAAAATCAATATCTCCGTTATTCTTGAACTTAAAGCAACCAAATTTGGTACAGTTTGTGGATGTATTTAGGGCGTTACTTGACAGTAACTAGAGCTTAATTGAAATTTGTAAAGGGAGTATACCGGGTGGCGCACCATTAATATTCAACAGAATTTTGTTAACCCTTGATGGATTTCAAAAATCTTTGCTTTGTTGTGTGGGCAATTCAATTCTAAAACTTTTTTTAGTCTAGTAATTTCTTGAAAAACCTCATCATTTTCATTAAAAATTCGAGTAACTGAAAACGCGTGCTCTAGGTGTGTTATTTAAAATCATCGAAAATTCAAAAGTTGGCTATGAGGTGTTTCGAAAAATTACTAGAGTAAGAGAAGTTTTAGAATTGAATTGCCCACACAAAAAAGCAAAGATTTTTGTAATCCATCAAGGGTTAAACAAATTCTGTTGAATATTAATGGTGCGCCACCCGGTATACCCCCTTTACAAATTTCATTTAAGCTCTAGTTACTGTCAAGTAACGCTCTAAATACATCCACAAACTGTACCAAATTTGGTTGCTTTAAATTCAAGAATAACGGATAGATATTGATTTTTTTCTAAATTTATAACTTCACTTTCAAAGCCTATAACACCTCAGGGAAGCAACTTGGTATAGAGGTAAGTTGCGTTAAATTGCCATATTTTGGACCCCCTACATGCCCCTGCTCTATGTCGGTTCTTATGTGAATCACCCTGTATAGGAAATTCTCAATTCTACTATATATCACGATTTATATAGCGGTATAGTCAAAATAATAAAGGAGTAAATGATTTTGGAGTCTTGTTATACTGTCACAACCAGTTATTCCTTGAAAAATCAAGCCACACACGTAGTCTGAAGTGACGTGATAACAGTCATTTCAAACGATCATTCAAGGAAAGATCGATATTTTTTCATAAAAATTATTGAAATCATTCGGAATTTCTGAAGATGAATTTCTTTATGAATATCTAGTACGATTGATTACTGAATTATTGAGATTGATTGAAAAGTTCTATAAGATGAACCGAAATAAACATAGGGATGCAATTTGAAAAACCAAAGTTAGGAGTGGTTTCTAGTAGATTGTTTGTCATGAGGGTAATTCGATTTAATTGGCTTGGAGAGTTTTCACTCCCGTACATTCCACAATTTTTTTTCGAATGTCAGATTATAATATATTATACACATCAGTTATCCGCAGGCCTAAAAGATCTGTGACACCCGGTATGCCTATACCTTTTCCTGTGAGCTTTTTTTCACGAGAGTCAGTCTATTAACTATAATCATTGAGTACTTAGAATAATTATCTATCGGAAACTATTGGAAAAATTTTCAATGTTATCATTGAAAAAAAATTGAAAGTAGATGACGTTGAAAAAAAATTAATATTTGCATTCTCATAGATTAGGTATAATCGATGATACCAGCTAATCGAAATCGGACAATGAATAACGGCGTTAGGGTTCTTTTTTGTCAGTTATTCTGTTATGAGAAAAATTGAACTGGTCTGATAATCTTGAAAATCACTGCTGTGCTGAAACTATGTATTCATTTCTCCACCCGAAGATTTTTTGAAAACGTAGCGCAACCTAAAGAATTGTTCTCCTAAAAAAATTGCTTCATGTAAATACTGGAAATTTATAAGAACATTTAAGGTATTTTGTCACAAAACACTATTGCCAAAAGATAGAGACAATGTCAAATTTCAGAACAATCCATTCAATAGTTTTATAGTTTTATTACAATTTAGGACAGACAAATTCCCCAAAAATCACCATAGTCCGGATAGCTTTCAAGTCGGGAGTCCCTATACATATAGGTTTCGTTTTGGGCACTAGTTGTGAATCATCCTATATGTCTAGGTACCTAAAAGGTATAGATATATTTTTTACACAATCCACTCCACATTTATCCATAAACAGTCCGATTCAAACAGGGAATATGACACACACAAAAGTGATGAATTTTCCAACAATTTGGGAACGTCACACATGATACTTATTTAACGAAAAATATTTTCACATACCATCTTGAAATTTTTTGAATGTCACTTAGAGTAAACACGGACACTAACTGGTCCAGCTCTAAGAGATTATTTTATACTTCTCCCACTATTTGCCAGATCATCCGAGAAAAATGTTTGCGAATTATTTTCAGAATTTTCCGTTTTAATCTGCTAGAAAAGTGTTACGCATTGTTACCTGTCAAAGTCAATGCCGTGCAGTAATTAAGTATCAGAAAGAAGATATTTCGGGAGTCCAATCTCTGTTGTTTCGGTTGCTTTATAGTGATAATGGAATCCCAGAGTGTGAAATTTTAGTCGTATTTTTAAAAACTCCCGAATATGCGTGGGTGGCCAGTTCAACTGAATGTGCTTCGGAAAAATACCACGAAAGAATTTTCGAATGAATGTGAATGCGTTGGCGGAAATATTAGTAAATCTGACAAATATAAAACAATTAATAATATTCGCAGAATGACGTAGCTACTCATTAGTACATCTCGTGACCTGTTTTAACAAGCTGGCATGCATATGCACTGAAACACTTTTCTCAAAATACATTAATAATGTACCGATACCTACCATTAGAAATTTATTTCTCAGACAGCACAGAATATAAAATATTCTCGTGGAACAATTGGATATTCTCAGAGTCTCCCTGGTGATATTCCGCAAATTATTCTGAGTGAACGAAAAATGTGTGTAATAATGGAAAATGTGTATCTCCGTATGCTCGATTCAGAATCTAACACCAGAAGTGGTACTTGGAACATTCATTTTACTTGATTTTTTGGGTAAAAAATAGGAATATTCGTATTATTATTTCAATATATTTGTAGAGGGACAAATCAGATGGTTTGCCCCAAAATGTCACTGCGTTTAAAAAATTATTGTTCTATCAGGGAGTCTAAAAGAAAAATCCAGTAGCTTGTCAGTGACAATTTGTTTGAAAATATGTTTGCAGGAAAGAAATATAGATATATTGAAAAAATATCGAATTTTCACTTATCTTTGGACGGGAGCAGATTCGGTCCCAACAGGTTGGGAAAGTAGGATATATAAGCAAGCCAATGTTAGTTTAGTTCATCGTACCAGTATATCACCTGACGAAGCTAGTGTGTTAGCGAAACATGTCGTGTGTTTTTAAAAAGTTTTCTATTTGTTACCAACTTTTTCAGACATACTGTATACTTTCCTAGGATGATCCAAGATTATCCGAATGAAATTATATCATGAATTATTTCTCTCAGAATAACAAAATATATTAGTTTGAAATATTTTTTTATCCGTCTCGATCCGTTTACATCTCACCGATAGTGACTTCATGAGTTTAGATTCTTACACGAGCAGCTTATTTAGAGATTAACGTTCCAACGATATAGCCGTTGCGAAAGTACGACTGAATGGATAGGACACCCAATGAACTCAAGTTGGTTGTTTACATTCAGTTCATTGAGGACACCTGATGGAGAATGGATGACATACGCGTGTCCCGTGTACCTACTACAGTATCCCACCTACTCATATATGAATAGGCTGCAGATGCTAATTAAGTTCCTCAGGATGAGTTTGAACCAAAACATTTATTTTATTTATTATAAAATTATTCGATGACCATAAATTGCATCTAAATTGTATTGGTGCAATGTCAAGACTGCTGAAGCTACGTATCAGCTCCAGTAGCATCGGAGATGAAAACAGCTGACGCAGTTGCGATAGCGTCTTGGCTTCTTGGAATTGCTGGGGTCGTTGGAATGGTATTTCTCTTGATATAATTCCTCCCTCCTTAGAGAGATCCATACGGAGGGTGGATCGCCTATTGGTTATTCGTCTTCGTCGGTATCGATGATTCTTTTGAGTTCGCATTTCCTTCAGTGGAATGGAAATAGTTGGTGATGCAGCCAAGGGTTGGTTTTTCCTTGGGGTCAGACATCTGGCTCTGAAGATCCTTGAAAACCAATATATTGCCAGTAAGGATAAGACGATATAAATTGATATTGTCCATTGGAATGACAAATCTCGGGGTGAATTCTTCAACGTAATTTGTTGAATTTCCGCCTGCTCTCTTTGTAGCTTATTTATTTGATCCAAGGGTAGGTCGTGGAGGTGGAGTTCTTGAAGATGACTTGGACTTGCTCTAGGGGTTTTCACTTCCGGTAGTAGTAGCACCTGGCCTCGAATGATGTCTTCTGTGTTGGCAAAAAAGAGTTTTGTAGTTTGGAAACTGCAACCAGTTGGCACTTCGAGAAGGTAGGTGCCCTTGAGAGTAGCTAGGTCCATTTTTTGACAATGAACCTTGACCTTTGTTTCTTAGAGAAAAACAGCTATGTAGTGGACATTATTGATTGGCTGGATGATCTCGTGATCGATCTTGATTCGGGCTGGTTCACATGTCGAAAGTTCATCGGCTTCCAGTTGAAGTAGGTGAAATACACAATCATTCTGGTCGGGTGCCTGGAGTTGATTATCGGTTTGACAAAAATACGTGGGGTGTGTATTTTTGCATCTCTTGTCTTCGTACTCGAAAAGTTTACTTCCCATGGCAAGGAAAAATTTAGGTGGAACGAGAATGGTATTGTTCTTGGTGGGTACTGAGTATAAGTGGTAATAGGAATAGGTTTCCGGTGGCATGATAGGGAAGTGAATTATGAAAACAATCCTATCGTTTGAATAATATGATTCTACTTTGAGTCATAATATTTGTGCAAAGTAGAAAAATGATTTCCAAACATAAAGTTTCCCGATTGATAATTTTTCAATAAGACTTGTATAATAAATTCCAAATCTTCTATTCTCAGAATACTATAATGAATTGTTTCTAATTTCGCAAATGTAACCGCGTTTACTAAATTGCTTATTATTTCCGTTAAAACATTGAGTACGGCACTGATTTGATCTAAGGCATTCTTAGCTATGAGATACCCATTGTAATCAAACATCAATTCTTTTAATTCTGCATTGAGTTCTTCGATTTTTTCAGCAATTTGTATTTTGTTTTGTTTGATTGAAGATATGGTTTCATTATAATCATCAATTATTTTGCTATTAAAAGAAATTTGCTTGTTCAGAGTAGTCACTATTTGTTTTTGATTCGAATTCAAAGTCTCTATGGCACTATCATATCTTTTCCCGTCCTCTGCGTCGAGGTTTCGTGAAATGCTTTTGAAAATACTTCCAAGACCGTCAATAAGGCCTCGTTTTATTCTTTTAGTAGAATGTAGGAAGTTAAATTTTGCTTTCGTTTTATCAAGTTGAAATAAAATATTATTTCGAATAGTTTTCAGTTCTTCATGAAAAATTTCGTTTTTACTATGAATTGTTTGCTGAATAGTTTTGAATTGATTCTCGATTTTTCCGAGTTCGATTCCGATTGGATTCATATCAAAATAATGAATATAAGCGTGTAGGTACTTGTTAATTTTGCATCTCCTAGCTTAGGTTAGTCAGTTTGATTTCTTGTGCGGTCTTGGATAGTGGAAGCATGAGGAGAAGCCTGCAATGGGAAAATCTTCTGATTAGATAGAGGTCGCCTAAAATTACTCTTATGATAGGTGATAGTTTTACGACAGATTTTACCAGGGTGGGCTGAATTTGGGACTATCTTTGTTTCGTGATCTACTTTGGTGATTGATCAAAGTACCTGGATCATAGGTGAGTGGATCGTGACGATCTACATTTTTCGAGAATGATCTCTTTTCGTTTGGACATTTGTTTATTGAGTTGTTTGTAAATTCCTCCTGTACATTGCTTGTGTTTACAGATGTAGTTTTCGTATAATTTTTCGTCAATATCTATGTCAAAGGGACTGTTACTGTCCAAATGGCCAGTGATTATGACTATAGGGCGTTGTTTTGTGGCTGAATGTATGGCGTGCATAGCCTAATATGGCGTCAGGCATTTGATCAAGAATATTTAGATCTTTTCGCGTTTCTTGGACAATTCTAAGATGTTCGATGAGCGTTGAGTGAAATCTTTCAACGATTGAATTTGAGTTCGGGTTCCAAGCAGAGTGGTGTAATGAACTTGTATTTTATGTAAAGCTGTAAATTCTTGTATTACATTATTTTTGAGTTCAGTGCCCTGATCAAGTACTAACATTTCATGAAGTTTATAAATCCTTTTGCTATGTGGATAGCAGTAAGTCCTGTCAATGGATATGCTTGCGCATATTTTGAAAATGTGTCTACTATTGTCAAAAATTTTTGATTTTTAATTATGAATGTATCGGCATGTACGACTTCAAAAGGTTTGTTTTGAGTTGGTGTCAGTTCAAATTTCTGTTTTGGTAAGTTTCTGTCATATTTTAGTTTTTGGCATATTTCGCAATTATTGATGTATTTCGTGACTGTGCCTCTGATATTTGGCCAATTATAACGACGTTTTATTCGCGATTCGGTTTCGATTATTCCGCGGTGGTTAGTTTTACCGAGGTGGTAATCCTGAACAATTTCTTGCCTTTCGTCGACTGATGTCACGTCTTTCAATGCGTTATTGCAAAGAATGATTTTAAATGCGGAGTTTTTAAACGTATTTCTCAGGACTTCGCAAAATCGAGGGATATAATTACGTTTTCTTTGTCATAGTGAACTCTTTGAAAGTATTTATGATATCATTTTCAAAGTTATTAGAGGAAACTTGAATCTCCGTTCTAGTTTCATTTTCGAATAATCGCTTTATTCTAGGAACAACTGGAGAGTGTGATACTATTCTCAGAAATAGCTGATTTTGGAAGTTGTTAATAGATCGGGACTTCGTATACGGGGTTTTCTTGGCTAGTATGAACAGTTTCGATAACACTATCATGAATTTCATTGTCCTGTTCGCTTTCTGTATTGGTATCATCTGAATTGGGGGTTTCATCGATATTTTCTAATATTGATTCGTTATCTAATTCGAAATTTGGATTTACTGAAGTCGAGGATGGCTTTACTTTTGTTGACCTATTTTCATTACATTTTTCTGTACCGGTATATGGGTATATGAATCATTAATATTAATTTCGTTAATTGTTATCCGGGAGAGGGCATCGGCTTTGGTGTTGAGTGTTGCTTTTTTATAGAGAATGGTGTAATCAAATTCATCAAGTTTGAGTCTCCATCTTGTGAGGCGTGCATTAGGATATTTGATAGAGAAAAGCCAGTGCAGTGGTTTTTGGTCACTGTAAATGGAA